TAAATAGCCAGTTTTTTGCGACATACTATTTGTAATTAATTTGTTCTTGTTAACAGGAGGGAAAGCAATGGGAGGAGCCGAGGGAGGCATCAGAGTAGCGGGTATCTATCGCTATCCAGGGCATTTACCAGCGGGCACTACCCTCGACACCCCAACCTCTCTCATGGACCTGATGCCCACCGTGCTGGACTTAGCAGGGCTCCCTCCCGTGCACGACCTCGTCCCAAGGACACCTCGAAAGGTAGCCCTGACCTTCCTCAACAGTCGGGCAGAGAGGAATCTATATTTGTGTATACTGTAACGAGGTTATGAGTAACGGCCAACACGCCACATTAAAGATTATAGCACTTGTAAAGCGATTATTCAGACTGTGATTTTTTTGTGTATAAACTTCATAAATATCACCCTTATAGTTTATCAACAGGGAATCGTAAGATGAGTGTATATTACAAAGTAACATATATACAAAAATATAAACTAACTACACAAATATTCAGTGCATACGTGCGGTGCATTTATTCATTTGTTTGCCCATCTGTTCACCTATTGACCTAACCCTTATTTTGACCCTCGCAGGACCTGGATGGAGAGAGCATCGCTGACCTGCTTCAGGGCGAGAGCCGCTCCCCTGCGCAACCTCCTCGTATTTTCCTACATCACTGTCGCAATCAAATTCATGCTGCCAGGCTTGTTACAGGTCATTTGCTCATCTTATGAATTGTCTTGATAGTTGGTTCATTATCTATCTAATTACTGTTATACCCACTGGTGTGTTTAATTATATATCTGAGGGGACGAATGTCTACTTCTGCGATTTCTGAATTCTTGTTAATTCGTACAGATGGCCACGTCTACAAAATGTACCTATACAAGCACAAGTGGTTCCCGGGGAGCACGCAGTGTGGCTGGGGACACACCGTGGGCTGCCACTGCACTAAGGACAAGATGCATGACCTCACCGGACAGCCTGAACTCTATGACCTTGTTCGTGATCCCTACGAGGACCATGACCCTATCAGCCCGGAAACGGATGAGTGAGTGTTTCTGTTTTTGATCTGATTTTGACTTACATCCTTGAGAGTAATTGCAATTTGATAGAAGCGTAACTAACTTCCAACTTCCAAGTACGGTAGAAGTGATGCACGTGCTAGATTTGAATATATATTCTGGCGAAGAAGGAACGTAACCAAAATAAAC